CCCCTAAAATATTTGAGGGGGACGCTGCCCAAGTTTATGGGCATTGCCATTCAACTGGTGTGTATGTGATTGATTATGTGGGGTGGGGCTTACCTGGCCCTGCCATATTCTATTCAAGTTAGCACCCCTGAATACAAACATGGAGCAGTGGCTCCTGCGTGACATGGTGAATGTATGAAAGGGACCTTCAGTGCTATGAAAACTTTGCTCAACTCAGCATGGAAACTAATTCTGCCCCGAGAAACTTCGCTGGATGATAATGCAAATGAAATTACAATGGTATTTTGCAGGCAGAACTGGTGTGTGCATTTTTAACATAAAGTGAAATAACCTTGTTCTTTATAACACTCGGGGATACTGAAATTTGCTTATCTGATTGATCTCAGGATTTCCATAATGTGTAGAATTTCAGTCACTTTCTGAACTAAGCTGATCAAATAAAACCTTAGACCATCCATCTTAATTACAGGAAAACGAGCAGTTCTCTCAGAGTGTAGTTCTCCACATGTAAATAGAAAGCAAAAGTGAGCATAAAACTATGTCGTTATAATAAAGAAGGATACTGGGGTTGGTTCATTAATAAGTCTCAATTGGGGGACCTAACAGTTCCAGATTAAGGCTCTTACTTGGGAAATATTTTCAGGAAGGGAGAAAATTCAAATGGATACCCCTCCCCCAATACTTGTACTAAGCAGAAATGCAAGTCAAATGTTAAGTAAACTTCAGTATAATTTGTAATTAACCCTGAACTTAATTGCTGCCCTTATATAAGGAGTGAGTTGCAACATTTCAGCTGTGCCAGAACCTGTTATTGAAAATGGCAGGCATTAATGGCATTCTCTCTTCTGGGTGTGGTCCTGCTCCTTTGGCACTTATGCCCCTCTTTTAGGCTAGGGGTAATGAACCTAGTGGGTGGTGGGAAGGGGGAATTGTAGCCCTGCAAACCTTTTCCCACACCACATACCTCCCCAAACACCCCCTCCCCCCAGGTCATGGCCCTCTGCAGCCCTTCTTTCCATCCTCCTTGAATGTTTCTGCCTGCCTTAAATATCTAGCGGACCCTTGATCCCTTTTGCTTGCCTGGATGGAAGGTAGAGAGGTGTGTGTATAGAAATGACCCTAATGTACAAAAATAAAATTTACATTTGTTATTCCATCCAGCACTGCGGTCATGTGACCCCTGCAAGGCTGCCCCAAACGGAATGCCGTCCTCAGGCTAAAAAGGGCCCCCCAACTTTTGGACCAGTGGGCACATTTTAAATTTTGAGAGTGTGGCACAAGATAGCTGATAATGGAGTGTGTGCAGCGTAATGCAAAATTAGAAAGACAGCCACCCCAGACAACTTTATGCTTACCATGGGATCACACAATATTGATTACACACACACACACACACACACACCTACTGTTGGTGCCTACTAGCAACTCACTCTCATTTCACAGAAATAGATGAGAAGGTTCCTATAGATTTTGGCCCATAACATTCTTTCTAGGAAGGCTGGAGACTTTTAAAAATAAAAATAAAAATTCAGTGTCTGTGGCACCTTGTTAAGTAGGATTGTTTAATTGTACATTGAAATGGAAAGTGGCTCTGTGTGTGTATTGCTAAAGGGAACATTGGAAAATTCCACTGAAGCTAAGTGAGGCTCTCTGAGTACCTAATAGGTTGATAATTAATTGTGAATGCATCTCTGCTCTGCTCTCTGATGTGGTGTTTAACTTAGATCACATGGAAGGGTTATTCAGTTGCAAATCTCAGTTTTGAGAGAGTTGCCTTTGCTCTTAAGCCACTGAAGACAAATGGTGTGCTGATGAAGTCTCTCCTGGAGAGAACACAACCTCAGGCTGTAATAGAGACTGTGTGAAGGGAGAATTTTGATTTCACTTCTGTTTGAAGTATTTTCATATTTTAAAGATGCTGAACCTGTGGTTGGACAAACGCATGATTTTATGCAACTATTTGGATGTATCATTATCATTGTAAGTCTGTTTTGGAACAAGTTCTGTTAGCAAAGCTTTGAAACCGTAGTTTTGGACTGGGGCACTAGTGAAAGCCTTCATGGTATCATAGTGTCCAGAGGCACCAAGTTGGCAACCCTTGCTTTATTATTTCAGAGTGTCCTGGAAAGTGTGGGTTGCCATGGTGACAATGTTCCCTATTCCCTGATGCAACTTTCTACCTGAAATACTCTCTGGGTTTGGCAGTGCAGTTTGTGGGAGATGCCTCTTTGCACCATTAATTATTTCTTGGAAAGCTCTGCTGATTTTGCTAAAGGTCTTGAAATGAACTTATACATACTGATTGTTGCTAGCATTGGCTATAAGAGTTCAAACTGTATAGCCAGTATACTCAGTGCTACCCGAAGTAAAATGCTAGATCTACTAATAGACCTGTTCAGCCCTTCTCCAAATGGTAAAACATAAAATGTACCCTCTTTTCCTATTCTGGAGTGGATATTAGAAGGTCATTTGGAGTTTTTCTGTTATGTAGGCGGGGGATTTATGGGGGCGTACTGTAATTGCATTATATGCCATATGTCACAGGCTTTTTAAAAAGTTCGTTCAGGTTTAACCCCCTAACCTTCTGTTAAATCTTATTGACGGACAGGCTTAGTACTCAAGTTCAGATGCATGCCGGCATAGAAATAAATCAGGGATCCTGATTTTTGAACACAAAGTTCTTCTTCATCATTTATTTATTTATTTGCCAATTTTCCAATAATGTTCAGAGCTATAAAATGTAGCCAAGTCATCCTAGAGTTTGTTGTGGTTGATTATAGTGCAAAATGCATTGCACACATTTATTTGTTTTTGTAAATGATGGACAGAATTGAGCCTAAGTTAATCACTTTATTTTTTTAAGGGAGAGCTTTAAGCACATGCTTTACTCTCCCACTGAGCTTAATGGGTCTTCAAGGTGCCTTACCTTGGCCAGAATGCTTCACTTAGTGTGCAAAGTCTGTCTGTAGTTCTATCGTTATGTTCTGGATCTTGTATTGTTCCATGGCTGAGCCCAAAACTGCATGTGATGCTGGAAGTCTGGTCTCGTCTCTTGTTCCCTGTGATACTCTGTTCTAATTGCCCATCTCACCACCCTGGCTTGCTTTTGGGTTTTGGAAAACAGACAATGGAAGATCCAGTCACAGATTTCCTGGGTTATGTGTTCCAAACATGTTGTTCTCCTTTCATTTTCTGAGTACTGTACATTCTAAACGAAACAGGTCAGAAGGTTTAGGCTATCAGTGAATTATGTGCCTGCTTTTATTCTTTTTGAAGATGTTCCTGCAACCACAAAACACTTCAAACTAGCTTCCTGAAGCAGGGATGTTTTATGATTGCATGTCATTCATTTTCTCTATAAAGACTATTTTATTTTTGGGATTTTCAACATCTCATTCATTTTCTCTAAAAATACAATGTATATTTTTATTTGGGGGATTTTCCAGCAGTTTTTAGATTTGGTTTAAACTTATGGTAATATTATTTCTACTACACCTCTGATTTAAATATGCAAATTCTGAAGTTGTCTACCACTGGGAGGGAGACATGTGCTTTTAATCCATGATGTGGATGTTGCATTTGGATGCCTCCCATGAGAACCCATCAGAAATCTCAAGAGAGGGATACTAGATTTTCTAGACCCATATCAACCTGGATTCAGTTCAGGCTTTGTAACGGATATTTCTCTTGTGGCTGTTGAGGGCAATACGTATCTGGAAGCTGAAAGGAGGAATATGATGATACTGTTGGAGAGCTTTTGATGCCATGTGGGTGGTGACAAAAACAATTTGAGAAAGGTGTCCACAGAGAACAGATTAAGAAGCTCAAAATATGTAGATTCAGAGCAGAATCATACATGTAAATGTAGAGTTTACATTTGTAGAGAAGCAATATGATACTGGCTTTTAATCTGTCAAAGGGTTGTAAATTTCCAATAACTCCCCCCCCACCCCTTGTCAGTCACTTAAAATTCTGGTCATCGTGACAAACATCATGCCAGGATAAAAGAACAGAACTGGATGCCACGGAGCAAACACACGAGAAATCTTTTTTTCTTTTTTTTGCTTGAGTATTTATTTGAAGTGGAATTTGATTTGCATTTCTTTTGTCTTTCCATCCAAGAATATTTTAACCAGCAATTTCTGGGTGAAAGTGCTAGCCAAATTTTTATTTTTAAATTATATTAGAATGATAATAGAATGCAGTTTTCAGATTAATAACCATGAATACTAAAACTGAAAACTCAAGAAGTAGTAGAATATATTTTACATTGATCAGGAGATATAAGAAAACACATCAGAATATGCATAAATGTAGGAACTATATGCATAGGCTAAAGCAGCCTTTCCAGTCTGCTCCAGATGTTTTGAACTACAGCTCCCATCTGGTCTAGTCAACATGATAGGAGTTGTAACTTAAAACATCTGGAGGGTATCAGGTTCAGGAAGGCTGGGCTAAAAGAGGCAGAACTGCTGTGTCTGAGACTCTGCATTTATGCAATGATTGCCCTGGAGAGGGACAACAGGATTAAGTTTGGAAAAACTTGACTACTAAAAACTCAGACTACTCCTAGACACATGGATGCCTAAAATAGGAACCAAACTGTGCCCCCACCTTGGTCCCATACTGCTTTCAAGGAATATGTGGTATTAGGACCCCACTCTACCCAGACACCAGGGAGATCTCCTCTGAGGAAGAGGCATGGAAGCATGTGGAGAACACCAGTGCAACTGAGGACCTGAAAGAATCTGCAATAGTCTTAAGGCGGCCTGAAGTACCTCATGTCGTGAGTGTCTCACCTGGGACCCCTGCCTTAGTCTCCAGTGTCCCCTCTTTGCCACGGGCCTAAAGAGTGAAGGCAGCACTGGACCCAGCAGGAAATCAAGTGAGCATTCGTTTGGCTGCCAGAAGGCCAAGGGGTTTTTCTGGGAGGTATGACCTATCTGGGAGGAGGTGAAAGCTCCTGATATAAACAATAACCAAGCAGATCATTGGGAAGGGCTGTAGCACAATGATGGATCACCTGCCTTTAATGCAGAAGGTCCCAGGTTCAATCCCTGGCATCTCCAGGTAAGGCTGGAAGAGACCCTGGAGATGTGCTGCCAACCAGTGTAGACAATATATAGCTATATAGACCAGTGGGTGTGACTTGGTATTAGGCAGCTCAAGAAGAGGGACAAGAACAGAAAACCAAGCGATTCAAGAATTGATAGGATTAAGTACCGTATCTCATGTCCACTCTATGCCAGTGCTTGTTTAATACCTCCCTATTGAGCTCCTTAGTGTCAATCTTAGCTGCTCAGTTCTACAAGGTGCTGCTTGCAAACAGGTGGTTAGGAAATGCAGCTGGAAGTGGATTTACCTTCCTTGTCCTTCTAATGCTCCAAATGGTTCTATCAGTGGTCAAGGATAACAGAAGCAGGAATATCTGGTCACTAGCTACTCTGCACATTCTGCCTGGTTGCTAGTGATGTTCTTTCCATGGATGGTCTTGTTCTGCTCATCTAGATCACTGGTACAAACTCAAGCAGATAAATGACAAAGGAAGAAAGGAAAGAACTGAGAGTTCACTTGGAGTGTCCTGCTGATCCTTTCATTTGAAGTTGGGTCACCTGACATTGTGGTACATCAGGTATTGATAGGTTCGTGGCTCTACCCAGCTGTCAATGTGGCTTGTGGGTGGTGTGGGAGCTCAGGATCTGGCCCACCTGCCAGAGTGTAGTCTTACAGTCCATCTGAAACATATAATCTACCCCAAACAAGGATCTGTTGACTTCAATAGGGCTTTCCTTTTAGAAAGCATGTTTATGAACACAGACTTAAGTACACTGTTGATTTGCATCAATTCTGCATTGGAAGGCCATGGCTGAAATTAGCTTTTCCATATTGCCTTGTTTTCAGTCCAAAATTTGTAAATCAAGAGCTTTCTTACAATAATATTACAAAACTCCTGAAGACACGTCTTCATCTTCTTACTGCTTAGGTAAGAGATAACAGCAGCTGTATAGCTCTGGTTATTTAAGGATTTGCTGTTTTGTAGATGTTTACGTTTTGAGGCTGTTGGATTCTTCTTTGTGTTTTCTACATCCACTAATTCCGTATGCTGGCATTTTGCCCTGGGTATACACACAAAACCAAACCAAAGCCATGACTTCTCGTCAAAGTACAAAGCCCCTAGCAATTGATCCTGGCTCAGCGAAGTGTTGGAGCAGGCTAGAGCAACATGGTCTTTCCTTTTGCATACTCTCCCTCGAAAATGGTGTCAGCTCAAACACAAGAGCAAACAGATCAAAGCCTTTCACGGTCCCTCGCTTATTCTTGCAAGCGCTGTGATAAAACCCCACAGGCCACTGGTCAAAGAGGCACAATATAGGGAAATAATTTGCTCGAGGGCATGGCAATTCCTATTTTGCTCATTCGCCAAAATCGAGTTCATTTCTCAGGGTGATGCTTTTTGATGATATTTCTGCTCCAGTAGTCACCACACTTCCACCATTGAAAAGGGTCTCTATGAAAACACAGTATGTAAACAGACATTACACCCTACATTGAACAGAGGGCACAGCTGTCTCCCTATTTTGCAAAAATTTATCTGCTCTGCAGATCTTTATGGCAGGATCTAAAACAACTTAATTTAGATGTCACTTTTCACTTCATCCCCTTTTCTGATTTGGGATAAAATGAATTAGAAGAAATGTCTTTAAATGCTTCCTAATTTAGGGGACTGATGTTGCTTCTCCATCTTCTGGTATGGGCCTGGACACACAATCCTCCCTGCCTTGCTAGTTTAGATTCCAAGCAGTTTGTGGTTCACATTTCTCAGTTCCCTGATACATGGGATGATTTTGCAAACTGCCTCAGTGCATTCATACGACTAAGCAACAGGTACTTTATGAATCCAGCCTAATTCTAGGATCAACCTGAATTTTCTAGTATGCGATTGAATCCCAAACAAAAATAGCAACAGTCTGGAAGCACCTTTAGTCCTTTAGACTGCCCTCAAACTATATTATTTTTGCTGCAACAGACTAACATTGGTGTATTGTTGTTTATCTAAGCTGGGTGGTCTTTCAAAATGGACAAATGAAGGAAAAAATGCAAGCCAATGATCCAGTGGCATTTGTTTTTAAACTATTGCATTTCAGGTTCTTAGAAAATGTTATTTCTTGGCAGCGGGAGCACTTCCTTACTGGAAGATGTCTGAATTTTCCATAACAACTGAGTACCAGCTACAAATTTATCGTGCTTACATGTACAAAAGTTCATCTGGAAAGCCCCCGAATTCCTTTTCTTATCAAGTAGACTCCTGATTTCTTCATATTCAGGAAAGAGTACAACACGCCTATTTCAAAACACTGGCTGATGCTACTGTGTAGATGGTGGGTTTAACTTTGTGTCAGCGCTTTAATCTATTTTATTCTTTTGCATGTGGTCATTAGTGGAGCTTAATGTCTTATTGTTTTTGCTAGTTTACAAAACTTATAAAGATTCTGGGCCGGATTCACCTAATGAACCCTGTCAGCGGAAGCCCTGCACAATGGGGCTTTTCCCTCCCCCCCTTTCTTCTTCATTTCCACCTTTGTCTCTGCATGGGCTGAAAAAAAACCCCAGAACATCAGATGGGGGAGGGGAGGGATTGTCCTCTCTGGCAAGTTGATATGCTTGCGTAGATGGAATTCCATGTAATATCTGTAAAAACAACACTCCAGACTGAGAAAGTATGTAAGAATTATGTGGCTAAATACTGAACAGCACATAAAAAAACACACCAAAGCAAGTTTATGCATTACTGTAGACTAGGGAAGAATATATTCATGCATGTATGACGTAACCTGCAACTGTTAGGTTTATTGTTTAATACAATACACTATCTTGGAAAAACATCTTTCCTGCCTTTGCCTTTTCTTTCTGGGGAAATGTGTGCAGACAGGATGACCATCCTTTTCCTTTTCCCTTTCCTTCCCTCTGGGATGTGTGCCAGCTTTTGTCTAAATAAGAATTTCCTGTCTGCTAAGTTCAAGCTACTATTGCACCTGGTAAGTTATTAAGCAAATCCTCCTTTGTGGTGGGGGAAGGTCTTAGATCCAATGGAGATGTAGCAAGTGAGCTGCACGTCTGCTTTTTATGCTTCTGAAAACAGTTAGAGGGGAAGCTAACACCCGTTTCATAGTAAGATGCTTGACTCATGCTTATGCATCTCACAGTGAGGAATGTGTCCCTCCTTCTAACAGTTTTACTGGAAATGTGCAAATGAGTAGGTATAATTCACATACCTGTGTTTAAAACCTGTGGTTGACAATAAATACATAAAAACCAGTCTTTGACCACGACTTGATTAATTGCAGTCAATAAATAACCAAATGGGTTCAGCACCAAATTTGTGTGTATTGGAGAGCATCTCTCTGTTTATTGATATGCCACCTTTATTCCATCATGGAACCCAAGACAATGTACATATGGGTTCCAGGCAGTCACCCACCCAGATGCTGATCAGATCCAGACCTGCTTAACTTCAGCAAGGTGGTGGCCTCATGTGCCTTCAGGCCATACGCAACTGAGCAGGTCTGCCTATCCTGCTGCAAATGTCCCTTGGGGGCCATACTGTTCAGCTAAGAACAGGTCCCAACCCCAGCAACTGTTCCCTTGTCCTCGTGTCAGGGCTATGTGTGCAGCTGGGTGGAAGGTCCCTCTGAGAACTGTTACAATACAACAGCAGGAGGTTTCTGTGCAGAGCTTTAGCAGCTACTGCAAGTGAATTTGGGATTATGATGCTATTTGTAAAAGTTCCTAAAGTGCAGTGGCTCTGTAAATAAATGAACACATGCCAGTCTCTGCCCATATGACTGCAATCCTAATATTTCCAATTATTCTTAAAGAAACTGCAAGAATCGATTCTTCCTATTCTTCTTTTGTAACCATGAAAACGGTCCAGTTTTGGTCTGTACGCCCCCAAGCTGCTTCAAGGCAAGCTATTTTCACTGTTTCTACAACTATGTTCTCCCCCCCCCCCCCGCCCAGATCTATTTTCTGATTTCAGATCTGGACCTACAATCACAACCCAAAATATAGAAGGCGTATAACAGTTGTGTTTGGTGATTGTGGAAGTAAATGTAAATACTGAACAAACAGCAAGACAAAAATACAGAAGTGTTATAGTGGTGAATATTTTGAAGTTAAATAGCCACCAATTTCTGATTGATTTGAAAATGCTGAGGAACACGTTCTTTCCTGCAGTTTCATTACTAGGAAAAATAAATGGCATTTTTCTCCTTTAACCCATTTGGTCTACATTCCATAACCTAGTAAGCCCCATCAAAACACAGTGAGCCTTCCATCTGAGTAAACATATTTAAGATTGCATTATTAATTCTCTGTAGGTGTTTAAATTAAGACAACACATTCTAAAGATGACTTATTAAAGTTGACCTGCCATAGGTTTCAATACAACAAATTGTATGAATCTTCTGAAAATATTAACCTATGTTGTGTTTTTTGGTACCTAGTTAACCTTTTAGGTGAAATATTCATAATCAACAATGAAAACAATGAAGCAGTTTCTGCTGCTATTTTTAAAGGACGCTTGCCTTTTTAAGTCTAGAAGTTGAAGTCAAGATTTAATCTAATACTTTCAGATGGATTTCCCTCATACAAATGGCAAAGGAAATCCATTACTACAGTATTGTTTGGGATAATGAAGCATTCATGGAGCCAAACAGAGGGATTTTGCAAGAAAGAATGCATGCTAATGAAAGCAGGAACCCTTCCTTAAGGTATCCCTATTGTCTCTGAGTTTCTAGGAAGCAAGAAATATCCTACTACAAAAGGAGAGAGGAGAAACACGACTCCCAAGTGGAACACTTAGATATGAAATTAATATGCACAGATGAAAGGTTTGGACAACGGAAAAGACATCATTTGGAAAGTCAGACTGAATGTGGAAAGGCATACTGCTTCTTTGTTTCAAAGGGAATATTGTGTGGTGTGGTCATCCTATGCACATGTATTATGCACACTTAGTGCCACTGAATGCAATGTGACCTATGTTCCGAGTAAATGTTCATGGGAGGAATTGACTGTGATGGGAATAGGAGTGGGATAAACAGAGATGGGTCTGGTCTAGAAGAAGACCACTATGGAAATGGAGAAGTGTACACATTCTTCAGACTCAAGTCCATTAATGTGTGCTCGATTAGGCCAAAGCCTCATCTAATCCAACTTCTTCTTCTCACAGTGGCCGACCAGGTGCTTACTGGAAACCCCCAAGTATAAGACTTGAGTGCAACAGCATTCCCCTATCTTGTGGTGCTCAGCAACTGGTATTCAGAGGAATACAGTGGTACCTGGCTTAAGAACTTGATTCGTTCCAGAGGTCCATTCTTAACCTGAGGCGTGCTTTCACTAATGGGGCCTCCTGCTGCCGCCGCTGCACGATTTCCGTTCTCATCCTGGGGCAAAGTTTGCAACCTGAGGTACTACTTCTGGGTTAGTGGAGTTTGTAACCTGAAGGGAGCTGGGCATGTTTAGCCTGGAGAAGAGGAGGTTAAGGGGTGATATGATAGCCATGTTCAAATATATAAAAGGATGTCACATAGGGGAGGGAGAAAGGTTGTTTTCCGCCGCTCCAGAGAAGCGGACACAGAGTAATGGATCCAAACTACAAGAAAGAAGATTCCACCTAAACATTAGGAAGAACTTCCTGACAGTAAGAGCTGTTCGACAGTGGAATTTGCTGCCAAGGAGTGTGGTGGAGTCTCCTTCTTTGGAGGTCTTTAAGCAGAGGCTTGGCAACCATATGTCAGGAGTGCTCTGATGGTGTTTCCTGCTTGGCAGGGGGTTGGACTCGATGGCCCTTGTGGTCTCTTCCAACTCTATTATTCTATGATTCTAACTGTTTATAACCCGAGGTACCACTGACAGTGGAGGTTGAGCATAACCAACATGGGTAATAGCCATCAATAGCCAGTTATTATTTCAACGTATTAGAGCGTTATTAGGACTTCTTTTAGCAGACATCTCTGGTCCTCAGCAGTACATCTGGCTGCTTTTTCAACACTGGGCTATCTCACAGTAAACAGACATCATTCCAGTAACAGTCAATTGAAGACAAAGTGAGAACTTGAGGAACAGATTCCGTCAGTACTCTTTGCTGCCTTGTATCAAATGCTGCCATTGGTAGCTGCCTGTGAGCCAACTTGACTTTCTGCTGGTAATCTGTGTGGTACATTTTGGTTTCTCTCAGTTTCTAATTTTTCCACTCTTAAGGTCAGCTATCTACATTTCCATATCAGTTTGCATTTTAAAAAAAATCAGAGTTTAAATTTTTAAAAAATTAATCAGCATTTTAGTATGAATTTCCCCTAATGTACACATTTTTCTATGTCACTTTGCCTCACAGAATATATTATTGTATACTATTTGCATTAATATATATTTTTTCTACACATTTTGTGGCTGGAGAACTGCATTGTAAAATTAGGAGAAGAGTAAATGTTGAGACTTCCGGGGTGGCGCCTCCGGAAAATGGCGGAATTCCCTTCGGACTGAAGGGAACCCGCTGCACGGAGGCTTGGGTCCTGCCGCTACGGCGCAGCGGGGACCCTCAAAAACCACAGGCGGAAGAAGCCTGTGGACGTGGGACTCGGCGGGCACCGAGAGCGCTCTCTCCCTTGTACAGGAGCCCGGTAACGGGCTCCGGAGTGGGAGGTGCGTGGTGCTGTGAGTCGTCTGCTTCCTCCGTGCAGCAAAGCCGCACTGCCGTTATCGGAGAGCGCTGCCTTTTTCCTGGACAATTTGGCATCTAAAACATCTATCCGTGAGTACCTGATCTTGGAAGAGCTGAACCACTTTTAAGACTGGTGAATAAATAAATAATATTGGACTTGAAATTGAACTTAATTGGGACTCGGAATGGGAAGGTCTAAACAGGAAGTCGCCTTCCGTTCTTTTGTTATGTGAAGAAAGCAAAGACAAAATATACTAAAGCCTGAAAATTAAATTTTAAGAGAACTAGAATTCAACATCTAAGATTTCTGAACCCCCCCTTTGACAGCAGGAGAAAAAGGGGGTTGTATTTGGACTTTTCAATCCTGCAGAAGTGAGTTTAAAATAAAGCAATTTTCCACCGCCCTGAACCAGGAGCGGGCTGTCAGAATTGACGTTCTGAAGTTTATCCAGCTCGACAGTTAGTTAAAAGAAGGGTAACATTTTGATTCTACTGTTGCCTCTTGAATTTGGAAGGGGGAATTTTGGATAAAGTGTTTCTGGAAAAAGAAAGATTGTTGCTGTTGCTTTTATTCCTTTTAAAAAAAAAAAAAAATTCCATCTAGTGGAATTTAGTGAAATTGCAACGCAGAGAGATTAAAAGAGAAGGATTATTGGACTATTTTCGTGGGAAAGAATTTTCTTTGACCTTGAAGGACAATGCTAGTACAAAGGCTGGAACAATTGTTCCTGGAAGGTTTTTCAAAACTAAGTGCCCAGCTGGACCAGATGCGTCAGGAGACGACCTTGAGGATGGAAGTTACCAGAGCACAGCAGCAAACAAATGAAATTCAGTTAAAGGCTATACAAGCATATGAACCTGCTGTAGTGACGGAGGCTTCAGAGATGGAGGGACCTTTGGACGGGCAAGATCAGCCTTTGAACTTGATAAATGAACTTGGGACAAACCAGATTCGGAAAGATGAAATGTGGTTAGATTTGGAAATGGGGGGATGGATCGACCCCCCTCCATATGGTTATTTGGACCTTCCGAGTCTGGTGATGGGCTATCAGAGGATTGGAGTAGCCGAAGTCTCCAAGCTTTGTGGAAATTTGAAGTGGTATCATTTGCTGTCTGGCTTGGGCAATGGGTTTGGGATGGACTTGTTGCAAAGGGTCAAAAGCATTTTCTTGCTGGAGCATCCACGACTGGAAAGGAATCATCAACAAGAGTGGCGAAAGGGGCAAGAAAGAGACTTGAGGGCCTCGGATACGAGACAACCAGGTTAAGGAGCCGGATTACCGAGGTTAAAAGGACTGACAATCCCGGGTCCAGGGGAGGGGAGGTTGGAAGCTGACTGGACTGAATTTGACTTATTATTTTTTCTTTTTACTTTTTAATATTGGGAATGCTTACAAATGTTTGAAGGATGTTGAATGAAATTACATGACTTAAGTAAGGATTGGTAAATGATTCGTAAAAGGTAATGATGCAAGAATTTGGTAAATATTGAATATAAGCTATGAGTTTTAAAGTTTTTATATGACAAGAGGGAAAATAGAATAAGGAAACGTAATGACAGATTGTTATGAAAAAACAGAAAGGATTTGCTGTAAAAATTAAAAATTAAGAAACAAAAGAGGGGAGGAGGAGGAAGTCTAGAAAGGAAGTCAATAGAGATTGTAAAGGACTTTATATTTTTGTTTTTCTGTTTCTCTTTTTTTTTCTCTCTCTCTCTCTTTGCGGCTGGGTTTTCCTTTCTTTTTTGTTTATGCACTAATTTTGTTTTTTGTATCCTTAAATTTTTTTTTGGAAATTTTTGTTGTTATTTTTTGAAAATTCAATAAATATCAACTATAAAAAAAAAAAAGTAAATGTCAAAGGATGGCTGTGTTTTGGTCCGTGTATTGTTTCAGAAAATGTAAAGCAGGTTGATTCGCCTTTAACTGTCAACTGACTCAATTTCTCCCCCACGCCTAGTTGTACCAGTGATGGTTTCCAGAAGTATATTGAGCATTTCTTCCGTCACATGTTATAACAGAGGTAAAAGAAAATGAGCAATGAAACTTGGCTGTGGGTGCCACCAATTTGCCGATGCAGATGGAACTGAAATGATTCAGTATTAGTCACTGTAGTCTAGATTCATGCATCTGGCATTTATATACAAAGCATACATTTAGACTGCAAAGCATTTTTCACCAAACTGGCACAGCATGTGCACTTATAGCCTCCTTGGTAAACATGGGGAGGGACGGAGGAGAGAAAAATAACTGTCTGGGTTCAACTGTTTCGTGCTTGTCAAGGAGGAAACATTCCAGATGTCTTGAAATCTGCTCAGAGCGGCTCAGTGTTTAAGGAGAGCACTAAAAAGGCCAATTTTGTGACATGTCAAAGTACCTCATATCACCAGAGGCAATGCTTTCATAGGAAATTTCTCTTTCAGTAAGCTTTAAGCATGTTCCATTGTGAAGGGCGGATGCAAGCGGTGCCAGTAGGGAACTGCGGGTGCCTGCATGAACAGTTTGGGAGGGATGTACATTCCCTCTTCTTATTGCAAATAACAGCTTTCCTCGCAATAATCACCACAAACCACTTGGAACAGTTATTCTGACTTCCTGATAAGTGTGTGCTTGACTCCTGTGTGAGCAGCTATGGTTACAGAATCCAGTGAAACATAATTCAATGCCTCAGCGTGAATATTCATGTGCTTTCAGGGGGACACTGCTAAGAGCATTACAATTGCTAATTGTAAATGGGGTAGCCAAACCCCCAGCTTCCTTCTATTGTTCCTACCTACTGCAGATGTCCTAACATAGCTAATCAACAGATTCACTTGAGAATTGTCAGGATGACTGGATTAAGAAGGGGGCTAGTAGAGGCTTATCACGTGCGCTCCCTATTGTTCTCGTATGTACGCATATGGGGATGGGGGAGCGAGCCCTCAAATATATCATATTTTCATTTCTCTGAATTAAAATACTTTATATATCCCTTTATATAGCCTATGAAAAAAGACACAACACTGCACTTTTCCCTATGATGCTGACAGCAGACTGTCCACTGTTAGCATACTATACTGCTGCTTATTCCACGTTCTGTAGTTTACATATGGAATTGCTGCAGACATTTAGAGCAAGGTGTGTTGAGAAGAAGGGGAAATCTACAAAGGCTGGGATCCATCTTTGGCAAGTTGGCTGAAGGCTGGCTGGGAGAGATGCCTTTGACTCCAATGTTGTGAGGGACAAGCCCCTCTAGATATGACCTTGCTGTAAGAACTTCGTCCATGGAGACTGAAGATGCAAATAGGCGAAGAAACCATATTTCTTAAAGCTATGTCAGTCTCCCCCATGTCTCAGTTCTCCAGAGGAACACAGACCTGGGTGAGTGTCTGGAACTCCCTGGAATCTTGCTACCACTTGGCAGAGAGTGAGGGTGGCATCCAACTTTTGTAACAATATCCTATGCACTACTGCTTTTTGGGAAGAGTATGGATGCATGTGTATATATGAATGAGTAGCTAGCTACCCCTATTTTTGGACCCTCCATGTGGGACCTGGATTTGCGAGCCTTCATGAAACGCTCCTGTGCTTCTCAGTCTGCCACAAGTGTACTGAGACTCTCACATAATACTGAGCCAAACAACGGATTAGCACAAATGCATGAAATGAAGGTCCCTGCTGAGAAGTTACAACTACTGTACTGCATTCTTCCTATAGTTGTCCTTCTGCTGTGCTGCTGCTGTGAGTTAAGTTATGGTTTGGCTTAGCATATTGCCTGAATTAGGGCTCATGGTTTGTCTTGCTTCAGACAAATCAGAAGCTGTAACCAGGTTTCACAAGTGGGTTTGGATGACACACCATGGTTTAGCTTACAGCAGTAGGACTGAGGGAGGAGAAAAGTAAAGTAACTGTGATCTCCTCTTCTGGAGCTTGTAGAGATGCGCCTTCATGCTAAGTCATAGTCTGACTTAGTGCTATGTGTGAACCATCTTTCTGAATAGATAGATACTAGCCTCTTACAAAAAGCTTAGAATTAGCTGGGACCATCTGTGGTATGATAAGGTCAAAGCACATAAAGCATTTAAAAACCATATTGTCAGGAAAGCATTGTTTAATGTTTGGATAAGATACAAGGACTTATTGGAAAATAAAACCCCAAGGTGGCTGTCACCGATGGAAGCGAAAGCTCTGAGAAAGCTCAATATGGAGGTCAAATGGCCGAAATATTGGGAAATTTTGGAACAAGATGGAGATAGACTGAAATTACAGAGTTTTGAGAAATTAAAAACAAAGTGCGAGACTGGCTTCATTATTATCAGATAATGGAGGCATATAATTTGGACAAGAAAATTGGCTTCCAGGTGGAAAAATCAAAATTGGAAACAGAACTGTTAGAACCCAAAACTAAGAATTTGTCAAGAATGTATAACTTGCTGTTGAAATGGAATACTCAGGATGAAACGGTGAAATCTGCTATGATTAAATGGGCACAAGATGTTGGACATAACATAATGATGGCTGACTGGGAACAGTTATGGACCACAGGTATGAAGTTTACGGCATGTAATGCCTTAAGAGAGAATATTATGAAAATGATATACAGGTGGTACATGACACCAGTCAAGCTTGCAAAAATCTATCATTTGCCCGATAATAAATGTTGGAAATGTAAAGAAACCGAAGGTACATTCTTTCACCTTTGGTGGACGTGCCCAAGGATTAAGGCTTTCTGGGAGATGATTTATAATGAAATGAAAAGGGTATTTAAATATACCTTTCTGAAGAAACCAGAGGCCTTTCTCCTGGGCATGGTCGGCCAAATGGTGCCAAAGAAGGACAGAACTTTCTTTATGTATGTCACAACAGCAGCAAGAATACTTATTGCAAAGTATTGGAAGACACAAGACCTACCCACTCTGGAAGAATGGCAGATGAAGGTGATGGACTACATGGAATTGGTGGAAATGACTGGCAGAATCCGAGACCAGGGAGAAGAGTCGGTGGAAGAAGATTGGAAGAAATTTAAAGACTATTTACAGAAATATTGCAAAATTAATGAATGTTAGAATGATGTTGGAATGAAGCTAGGTGGTTTAAGCAGTAATGCTATAAAGGTGTATGTAAAAAAATGATTGATAACAGATGAAAATTTAAAGTTATAGTATATTAAGTTAAAGGATCATGAGAAAACAAAGAGGGAAAGAAATTGCTGACTTAACTAATTGAACTGGAATACAAAAAAAGGGAGGTATGAGGAGGTCAGGGAAACAAGGATATGAATGTAAGCTATGGAAAGATTGATTCATTTTTCTTTTTTTCTTTTTAAGTGTTTTTTATTCTTTTATTCTGTATTTTGTATTTTGTATTTTTCTTGTATTTTTACTTTTTGTTTTTGTGTAATTCTTTTTTTCTCTGAAATTTTAATAAATATCTTTTTTTTTTTTTTAAAGAATTAGCTGGGACCAACCTGCCAGAACACAAAGGCTAGGTGTTGCATGTATTTTTGCCCGGAAACAGACTCCTTTAAAAAACCTATTCTGCTCATGCTTTTTATTAAGACACATAATAGCTTATGGTCTGTGGGGAGTGTAGCGAAGGAA